GCTTGGTCAAATCACGACAAGGCTTTTAACACAACTGGGAAGGAAATTCCTCAATATGCAGCTCTAAAGATTCATTGTTATCTCCATTTGCATATATTTATTTGGTAATATTTTCTACCAGAGAATATTTTAGATGTCTGCAGCGAGAGTTTTACTGGCCTGGGAAAAGCAGAACAGTAAAGGAGGAAATAGGAGACCCAAGGAACTTTTGCTGTCTTTTTAGGTCAAAAACAGCTTCAAGCCCTTCTAGCAGGAACTTCAAAAAACAGCTGCTGACTAGTCAAGGTCCTCCAAAACTTGGAGATTCAAAAGCGGGAGCTTAGATGGTATGCAGGAGAAAACAAGATGAGCAACAGGGATACAAACACGTGACTGTCACTGCCACCTTCTTCTGCATGTCAATTAGTTACTGTATTCAGAACAGTAAAGGAGGAAATAGGAGACCCAAGGAACTTTTGCTGTCTTTTTAGGTCAAAAAACAGCTTCAAGCCCTTCTAGCAGGAACTTCAAAAAACAGCTGCTGACTAGTCAAGGTCCTCCAAAACTTGGAGATTCAAAAGCGGGAGCTTAGATGGTATGTAGGAGAAAACAAGATGAGCAACAGGGATACAAACACGTGACTGTCACTGCCACCTTCTTCTGCATGTCAATTAGTTACTGTATTTACTCTAAACTACAATTTAATGTCATGCATTGAGTAAGAACGTATTACAGAAGAGCACAAAGACATCCAAATACCCCAACCGAGGAAGAATACATGTCATATCCCACAAAACCAATCCCTTCTACCCAGGAAAACCTTCTTGTTCACATAAGGTGACACAGACCCTATTTATTTAACTCTCCTTGCTATACTGAAGAGCTACTGTCCACCTGTATTCGAGCATGGCAGCCCATCGCAATACTAGAATTTTGTACTCATAATTGTTATATCCACAAATAACTTTGCTATACTCAGAAAACAGAAAGCAAATTCTTGCCTCACCTGATTTTAGGGTTTTGGATGGCAAGTCATCTGCTGGCAACTGACATTTTCTTCTGCAAGAAGTGGAAGTTGCCTGTTGCAGAGGGTTAAGCTCTTTTCCTTTTCCAGGCTGTTCAGTTTTTTCAGGGCCAGTAGACGTCACACGCAGATTTTGAGTTTCCAAAGTGTTACCATTTCCTGGCAAGTTGCTGCTTTTACAGATGGAAGTAGAAGTAGCTGCTTCTGATGTGAATTCTACCTTTTTCCTTGTATTCCTCAATTGCCTTTTTTCCTGGGATGAATTATTTTCTAGAGATGTATCTTCATCTTCTTTAAGAATCCTCTTTTGACCTCTATCTTTGGGCAAGCCAAGTTTTCCCCTGAGAAAAGTGGAACTATTTTCTTCAGATTTGGAAGAAATTGTTTTCTTTCTGCCCGCTCTCAATGGGTTTTCTTTTGCAGACGGAGCTGCTTTCAAAAGCTTACTCTGTTGTTCTTTAGCAGTTTTGTTCTTACCATCTTCTGGCAAACCTTGCAGTGAGGTGGAACTGACAGCCAGTGAACTGATTACTTCACTCCAGTTGCCTTTTGAAAGATCATTTTTGGGGGGGGAAATAGAATTTCCCAAAATCAGGTTTTTTGCTGCCCCATTATTCTTTCTAGCACTTTCTTTTGACAAGCCCTGTTTTCCCTGAATAGAACTTGTGGCTTCTAACAAGAAGGCATTTTCTATCCTTCTGCCTTTTCTCAGCTGATATTCTTTTACCGATGAATCAGAAGTTTCTAATGGAACATTTTGATCTTCCTTAGGAGCTGCTTCTCCACCACTTTTTCCTCTAAGAGCAATGTAATTAGTTGTGTGTGACGACAGAGCAGTTCCTCTACTCCTGCCCCTTCCTACCGGCTTCTCTTTCGCACAGGACACTGTTTCCAAAGGTGTATTTTGTTCTTCATTAGTACTCTCCATTTTATCATCAGTTTCTGACAAGCCACATTTTCTCTGGAGAGAAGATGAACTTTTTGCCTCTGCTGTTAGATCAATCTTTTTCCTTTTGTATCTTGCTGAAGCATTTGCATTTGCCTGCAAAGCTGGATTTTGCTCTTCTCTCTCAGTCATCTTTTTATCATCACCTTCTAGCAACCCACGTCTTTTTCTGATAGAAAGAGATCTAGATGTTTGTGACGCTGTAGCAACCTCTTGTCTTCTCCCTCGTCTCAATGGATTGTCTTCTGTTGAAGAGGGAGTAGCTTCCACAGCCGAATCTTGCTCTTTTACAACAGCCTCATCTTTAGTATGATCTGCAATTAATGTTTGTTTTCCCAAATAGGTAGAACAAGCTGTTTGTGGAATGGAATCAGCTTGCTTTCTTCTGCTCCTCCTTACTTGTGAAGAAGGATTTTCTGAAGTCTCATGTTGACTATGTTTATAAGTCACCCCTTCGTCATCCCCAGGTAAACTCCTTTTTCCTCCCATCACCTTGGAAACAGCTTCTTCCAGTTTAAAATTAACTTTTCTACCTCTGCCTCTTCTCCATGCAGTTCCATTGTTCTGTGCTTGATTCTCTTGCAGCATTTCAGCTTGCTTTGGTTTCAGTATTCCCTGGGCATTTCTCGTCCGCTTTTGACGGCTAGGAGCAAGGCTGTCACTGTTTGCTGCAGGTACTGATGTGCCAGCTGGGTTGTTGTGGTCCTTCGGGACTTGGTATGTATTCTCGACACAAACAGAGCCCAAAGAATCTTTGGGAGAAGATTTGACCATTTCTGTTTCTGCCTTAAATTTGGGAGTAATTGGTTCTATATTGTTTACAACTTCAGGAAATTCAGTCTTTTTCTCCAAAGAGTCTTTCTTGCCTCTCCTGTTTCTAGGTCTGTTTGTTTCTTGTACTGCACTTTTGTTTGCTTCCAAGTTCAGAGCAGTAACTGGCATTTTGTTTGTCTCTCCGGAAGGTGACTCTGCCTTTAATCTTTGAGATGCCTCTGTGGTATTTTCCTGAGCATCTTCTGTTTCATCTCCCTGAGATATTTTAATCTCATTTTTGATGCGTGGTTGTGTTTGAGTATCAGTGGCAGATGAAGTTTCCTTAGTTTTATGAATGTTTTCTGTATTTTGAAGTGCCATCCCGCAAACGTCTGATTTCACTTCAGCTGAGGGCTTTCTAGCACTTCTTAAAGACTTAACTCTTTTCTCTGTTACCTTTATTTCAAGTTTAGTTCTGCTTTCAGATTCTTCTGCTGTGGTAGTCTCACTGTCTTTGTCAAAAGCCTGTTCATCTTTTTGTATCTTCTTTGCCGAAGAGTATTTATGAAGCTTCACTGTTGTCCCACGATGGTCTTCTGAAGAAGCTTGTTTAACTTGGTCATTTCTAGCTCTTCTTGCTCTTTTAGGTGGAATCAGTGCTTCTGGGTCTTCTACTGTTTTTACTCCTTTAGACCTCTTACCAGTTAACAGAAGCTTTTCTTCATTGTCTTTCACACCACCTGCATTAGGTTTGTTTTCAGGTTCTTTCAAACCTGCTTCCAACTGATAATTTTCATTTTGAATGCTACTTGATACACTCGCTGTCTTTCTGGTTGGATCATCACTGGTGCCATACTCCTGCAAAGCCTGTTTCATAGCTCCATGCGGTTCCACAAATGAAAGAGTTTCAACTTTTTCCTGATCGGGGCACTCTGAAGCAATTTCTTCTCGTATGCAACGATTTGTTCTCCTTCCTCTTCCTTTGTTTTCAGGTACTGAAGCTGAAGTACTGATCTCTCCCATCTCCTCTTGAGTGTTGTTTTCTTCCAGACCTTGCAAATCTTTTAAATCCAAATTCTTTTCACACTCCTTTGCTGAAGCAGTATGTACTGTTTTCCTTGATCTGCCCCTTGTTGGTCTCTGGGTAGACTGGTGTTCACTAGTTGATTCCTTCTGTTGAGAATCTTCACGTTGTGAAATATTTCCTTTATCTTCTAAAACAAGTTTTTTTCCCCCATTCAAAGTTTTTACATAGAAAAGAGCACAAACAAAAGTTATGTATTACTATGCCTGAACAAAATATCTGAGATTTTCAAGTTTCCTAACAGTCATCATGCTAAAAAACAAACAAACAAACAAACAAAAAAACCCCACTTAATATTCTTAATTTTAAAATAAACCAACAACTATTTTAACCAGCTCCTAGATTAAAGCCCAGGCTTCCGATCAAAGATGATTAGTTTATTTGGTATGTAGCATTCATAGGCTTAAACTATGTTCTTAAAATTATCTTTCTTTGCAAACACTTTCAAGTGGAGACCTTAACATCAGGCTTTTTTACACTGGTATGTTTGGAGATGCCAACATTACTGCACCAACAAACTACCACACTGTTACTTCAGCACCAATAGAATTCCAGCACCTCGTGTTTACTAGGGATGAATGACTGCACAAATTCCACGAGCTGTGCACACTTCACACTGTGTATTTTGGAATTTCTAAAACATATGTTAAAACTTCCTCATAGCATATATTACCTTGTATATTCATTGCTCCTCTAATTAAAGCAAAAGTATTTGTACTTACCATGTTTATGACTGGAATTAGTACAAGGAGGTGCAGCATCTTCTTGCTCAGAATCCATAACATTTACTGATCCGACCTAATGGAATAAACAATAATCAATACATGCATGTCTGGCAGGACAAGAAATAATGGAGACAACCAATAAAAAAAACATATAGTAATTGTTGAAAAAAGTCTTGTCAAATACTTTTCTCTAAAAATGAAATCAACTTAATTTTGTAACTGCATCCATGTATTTTATATTAGCACACAAATATAATCAAACTTAATACTTGCCATCTGAGCTAGCATAGCAGTTTTTAAAGTGAAATATTACAAACACTACATAGAGTTAAAGTATTCATTACATTGGCTGAAAAGTGTCTAAATGAGTGCTCTAAAGGAATCCGGATTACTGAAGCCAAATCATTTGAGTATTTTGTAGTGTTTTATTGTAGTTCTACACTGATGAGCGTTAAGCCCAGTGATACTCGACATTTTACCTATGGATCTCAGAATGAACATAAAAATCAATACTAATAAAATTCACAGATGACAAGAGTGATGAAGCTGTGAATTATCAGGTCAGAATGGTAACCCAGAGCAACCTCAGCACCACTTAGGTTTCCTTCAAAGCAGACACATGTGAACGCAGCCGCAAGTGCAGCGATACAGCTACCTCTGTCAGACTGGCAGCCACTCGGGAAGCAATGAATGAAAGACTTAGGGGCACAGTGAGGCACCAACTGATGCACAGTAACACGCTTTCTCAAAAGCTCAGCACTTCTGGACGCGCAAAGAAAAAAGACAGCTTAAAACTTCATCTACAGGGTAGGAAGCATCTATACAAAACAAAAACCACAACCATACGCCTTGCTTATGAAAAGGAGGGCCGAGAAAGAATTTGGTTGTAGTTTGTAAGCAATTTAAAGGGTGTTTTAAACATAACAGAAACAGATGATCAGAATAAAAACACAAGTGCTCAGATTCACATTTGTAATAAGCTATGTCTTCTAGCAGGCAGGCATTCACCTGCACAAAGCTACCAAGGAAAAACGACTGCCATCTTTACAGTTTTCATAACAACACGAGGTGTTTTTCTGAAAAGTATCTTTTCCTCCAGAGGTTATGGGCATGACATATTAACTGTATTGTTCTGTAACACACAAGGTATCATACTAGGAGGCCTAAGAACTCATTTCAACCACAGGCATCAAAGTCTAAGCAAATTCCTTCCAAAAGCTAAAGTATTTTACCTTAATTTCCTCTGGTATATCAAACATTTCCGCAACTCCAACATAGTCCACTTCATAATCAGAACATTTCTGCCTGGGTTCTGCCATAAGCCTTTGCAGACCCACAAAATCATCAACTGGTTGATACTTCTCTCTCGGAGTCTTCACTAGTCTACTAACACCATACATATCTTCCAGAGGTTCAACTTTCTGGTGTGGTGTCTTGAAAATACGGCTGACCCCAATCATGTCTTCTACCGGTTGATATTTCAGCTTTGGAGTTTTCTTCATTGAAGTAACACCTGCCACATCTTTTACTGCTTCTCTTTTTTGTACTGGAGTCTTCGGCAATCTTTTAAGGATAATTTCATCTGTAACAGGTTCCAACTCTTCCTGCGGAGTCCTGAAGAGCTGCTTGATGCCCGACAGGTCCTCAGCTGGCTCCGGCTTCTGCTTCTGCTTTGGGGTCTTCATGAGCTGCCTGATGCCTGACAGGTCCTCAGCTGGCTCTGGTTTCTGCTTCTGCTTTGGGGTCCTGAAGAGCTCCTTGATGCCCGACAGGTCCTCAACTGGCTCCAGCTTCTGCTTTGGGGTCTTCATGAGCTGCTTGATACCCGACAGGTCCTCAACTGGCTCCGGCTTCTGCTTTGGCGTCTTCATGAGCTGCTTGATACCCGACAGGTCCTCAACTGGCTCCGGCTTCTGCTTTGGGGTCTTCACGAGCTGCTTGATACCTGACAGGGCCTCAGCTGCCTCCGGCTTCTGCTTTGGGGTCCTGAAGAGCATCTTGATGCCCGACAGGTCCTCGACTGGCTCCGGCTTCTATCAGGGCTTCAACTGACTCTGCCTGCGGAGTCCTGAAGAGCTGCTTGATGCCCGTGCCCGACAGGTCATCAACTGGCTCCGGCTTCTGCTTTGGGGTCTTCATGAGCTGCCTGATGCCCGACAGGTCCTCAACTGGCTCCGGCTTCTGCTTTGGGGTCTTCCTTCTACTTGCCAATGTCACCCAAGATGCTTGTTTTTCTGGAATTATTGACAAACTATGCACACTACTATTTTCTTCCAGTATACCTTTTCTTTTTTTCTTTGTTGTGGGTATTGCATCAAGAATAGAAAAGTGATAGATGCCTGGACTATCTTGTTTCTGTTCTGAAGCATCTGAGCTATTTAACGGTGACACCATCATCTCTCCTGAAATAAGAGCAGATTAGGAAATATGTAATTTGGACAAAGAATTAAGCAGAAAATCCAAGCATTCTAATTGTTGTATAACTAAGTAAAATGAATTCAAGCAGCCAGAGCCTTCTACACATGAAAATCAAAAAAAGTGCACCAGCAATCGATTTGGTAATTAGCTTCTACAAGATAAACATATATTTGAAAAACTGACTAGCAAAATATTGATTATTTTTTGTTTAATCAGATATAAAAATTAGAATTTTCTGTTGTCCCTAAAATTTCGAGGGTCTTCTTGCAATTTGTGTTTTGAAGCAATACCAGATATAAATGAGAAGTTTTCACATTAAAGAACATACACTTGACTCTTCTGACACAAAGGAAGAAAAAATGACAAAAGATTTTAATAAAATTTATATCACAGAATCATAGAATATCTCAAGTGGGAAGGGACCCACAAGGATCACCGAGTCCAATTCCCTGCTCCTCACAGGACCACCTAGCACCAAACCACATCACTAAGAGCCTCCTCCAGACGCCCCTTGAACTCTGTCAGGCTGGGTGCCGTCACCACTTCCCTGGAGAGCCTGTTCCAGTGACCACCAACCCTCCCAGTGAAGAACCTCTTCCTTGTGTCCAATCTGAATTTCCCCTGATGCAGCTTCGTTCCCTTTTCTCATGTCCTACTGCTGGTCACCAGATAGAAGAGATCAGCATCTCCCCCTCTGCGGCCCCCCTTAAGGAAGGTGCAGACAGCGATGAGGTCAAGCCTCAGCCTTCTCTTCTCCAAGCTGAACAATCCAAGTGACCTCAGCTGCTCCTCCTAAGTCTTGCCCTCAAGACCCTTCACCATCGTGGTTGCCCTCCTCTGGACACACTCAAATAGTTTGATGCCCTTAGTTTGAGGCACCCAAAACTGCACCCAGTGCTCGAGCTGGGGCCGCACCAGTGCAGTGGAGAGTGGGACAATCGTCTGCCCCGACCGGCTAGCAATGCTGGGCTTGATGCACTCCAGGACACGGTTGGCCCCTTTGGCAACCAGGTCACACTGGGGACTCCTGTTCAACTGGCCATCAACCCCAGATCTTTTTCTGTGGGGCTACTCTGCAAGCCTCTCGCCCCCCAGTTTGTACATCTAGCCAGGACTACCCCGTCCCAGGTAGAGAATCCAGCACTTGCTCTTGTTAAATTTCATTCGGTTGGGGATTGCCCAGCTCTCCAGGCTAGCCAGATCTCTCTGTAAGGCCTCTCTACCCTCAAGGGAGTCCACTGCTCCTCCTAGTTTCATATCATCAGCAAACCTAACTTAATGTACATTCAATTCCTGTGTCCAGATAATTTATAAGAACGTTAAAGAGCACTGGCCTTAAAACTGAGCCCTGGGGGACCCCACTGGCGACTGGCCACCAGCCTGATGTAACCCCATGTACTCTTTGAGCCCAACCTGTCATCCAGTTGCTCACCCAACATATTACGAACTTGTCTAACTGTCTGCTGGACATTTTATCCAGAAGGATACTGAGAGACAGTATCAAAAACATTACTAAAATCCCAAAACACCACATCTACTGGCTTGCTTCCCTTCGTTGACCAGATGGGTGACCTTGTTATAAAAGGAAATGAACTTGGTTAAGCAGGACTCTCCCCTCATGAATCCATACAGGCTATGACCAATGACTGCGTTGTCTCGCAAGTGTTTTTCAAGAACTCCCAGAAAAAAAATTTCTCCATAATTTTACCAGGCACTGAAGCGAGACCGAGAGGCCTGTAATAACCAAGGTCTTCCTTCTTAGCCATCTTGAAACTTGGGATATTTGCCAGCTTGCAGTCAACCATGACCTCTCCCAACACCATCAAAAAAATAACGGACAGAGATCTCGCAATAACATTCGCCAACTACACTGTTTGCATGTGGCTTGTACTCGGAAAGACACTTTTCACAAACACTCATTATGGTCCTTGGAGAGGAACTGACTTTTGGAGCTCTTGGATTCTTTTGCGTCCTGCTCATTATGCGTAGCACAAAAGGATAATCAAAAGGAAAGCTTGGGAAAAAGTGAATTTCTCTGGCTGTTTAGTGCCAGCTTCTTAGTTTCCTTCGTTGTTTCCTAGCGCAGTACGCATGCGAATTAGAACAAGCACAACCACGCTGTTGCTCAACAGAAGCAGCCACCATTCCTCCCACTAGTCAAAAAGAATTGAAACAAAGGAAAGGTTATGGAAAAACATTTGGTCAGACCGATTTACCGAAGATTTTGGAGGAAGTTGTATTTTCTTCCTGAAACACAAATTAGACCAAATTCATAATGCCAGAAATGCTATTTCCAGGATAACATACTCAAAACCGAGCCTTGAATACTGAAAGGCTAGTCTTGCTTTGGTCCCTGCCAAATTAGTGGAGCAGGTCCTCTTGAAAGACACTTCTGGGCACAGGAAGAGCAGGGTGACTGGGAACAGTAAGTATCAGTTTATCGGAAGCAAATCATACCTGACCAACGCAACTACCTTCTACGACAAAAAGAATGGATTTGTGGATGAAAAGAGAGCAGTGGGCATTATTTAATGCAACTCTAACAAGGTTTTCAACACTGTCTCCCACAATACTTTGGTATTCAAACAAGAATATCAGAGGCTAGATGAATGGGCAACTGGTTGAATAAAGAACTGGTTGGATGACCAGGTTCAGAGTTGCAGTTAATGAGTCTCTACCTGCAGGCCAGTAACAACTAAGAGTACTACACGCTGGAGGAACCGGTTAACTCGGGGAGTCCCTTATCCTTAACTACAACAATAATCTCAGTCTTAAAACTATCTCCCTGTTCATTTTAAAAACATAACCCTCCTATTTAAACTAGAAATAAAGTACTGCTGGTGTCAGTTTTGAATCGAGGCTTGTAGGATCTAGCAATAATTTGCCTTTGTAGTTCCTATCCTGTCAAGTCCCCATCATAAGATGGTTCAACTCCTTCCAAATTCCTGGTCTAGCAGGATTAAGAAATAAACTAGTTTTTTCGGTCCACACTCCCTAAATTATGAAACTAAAGCGTTCATGACAGACAGGATTGATGCGTATAGGATCTAAGATTAAGGGCTTGCCCACCAACTTAAGGAAAGCACTAAATATAACTGGTTAAATAACAGCTGATATAGACATCTTCAAGTGGATGAAGACCACTACCAGTTCTTCTTTTCAAAGAAAACACTTTTTACCGGACTCCCTTCTGAAGTTATACCAAGGTTCGTTATACCTAAGCCTATCTTCCTCCACATCTGAAATAAAACAAAATACATTTCAACCCTTATTATTATTTTAAGTACTGGAAGATTTATTCTTGATTTTTCTTGGTGTTTTAGTAGATGCTCAGTTTTGCTAAATTCTCAAGAGAACAGAATTTTAATTTCAAGAATTCTGAGTTATACAAGGACACAATAACTGGTATGCACGGTTCCTAGCAAAAGATGCACAACAAAGTAATACAAATCTTTCTAACCTATCTTTTTTTTTGTTTAATTAAACAGGCTTTTTCCACAACATTACACAATAACCTCTCCCTACCATGACACTTTGTGACTGGATTTAGATGTATTCAGAGACAACTGTTTAAGAAAATGCCATGCCTCAGCGCAAGATTTGCCTCAAACAGTACCTCAACATTTTGAAGTTTCACACCAAATAGAACGAATAAGAAAGTAACACCTACTCTTAACTGGAACTACAAAAATGTCTATTAATACATGATACAAATCAATGGATCCTTTTATGAGCTGTCAGATGCTTCATCTCAGTACGTGAAGTCTGCCTAGGCTGAGGCCACTCATTGTGTCAAGCAGCAGACACACCACTACCCCTAAGTACACCTAAACACTTCCTTTTTTATTTTTTTTTCATATAACAAACCTACCAGATTCCTCAGGAGTGTGCAATTCAGAAATTTCTGCTGCAGTACACATTGGTGTAAAATCAGTCTGCTGATCACTGTCCATAGGTGACGTTCTTCCACTCTTATTTTCTGGAGTTTTAAGCATTTCAGTCATTCCTACAAATTACATTCAGAGAAATGAGCAAATACTTTGACAAAAGAACTACACAGTTGGCAGATTGAGCAACAGAATTTAAAAAAAACTTACCTGTGAAGCTTTCATCCATTTTCATGTTCAGCTTCATGGTAGGATTTTTCACCACTTTAGGGACCTGTCCAGCCATTCCGACTCTGGTGGAATAAGCTCTACCTACAACTATTGTAGCAGGTGACTCTGCATGACCTGTACTAAAATGACCTTTTATTTTTCTTTCTGGAGTCTGCAGAGGGGAAAGAAGGGGCGGGGGGGGGCTGTTAGTAAACAAAGATTCCTTTTATACTAAATCTACTTTTCTTGTATGTTGTGACAAAGACACCAACACCCAGTTAACACCATACTAGAAGATGATAAGCTTTCAGATTCTGTAGCTAAATACCTACAAGCTGTTATGTGGTTATAAAAAAAAAAAAGAAAAAGGAAACATGAAAAAAGAAAAAGCATACCTTTGGTGACTGGGTTATCTTCTTAAGGGATCTTGCTTTTTGGACACTTTTTTTAACAGTCTTTGACTGTGGTCTGGCAACACCTAATTTTACCACTTCTGCCCAAGATTTTGCCACTAGAAAGCAAAAGAGAAATAACCACTTTAATTATCAGCTGTATAAATGGAAATTCACAATTATTTCTTTACGATTCCAGTGGCTTTGCTGCAGTCAGGCACAGGAAAGTGGTTGTTGTATCTTCTGATAACACCTATATTAAAGTGTTCTGTGAAACGCTTTCAGTTGAAAGACCCAATTTCAGCTGAAGTTTAACAAGTGTCCAAGCACCCAGCGCAGCAATTTTCCACAACACCAAAAAGCTTCATGCAGTGTCAAATAGCTGTTAGATCCTAGAACTGAATGCTGACCCAATTCTGCCCTCATTCTTTTTGTAAGGAAATCATTTTTCCCAATAGAAACTTGCCTTGCGCCTTTCAGTCTGGTTCATCCTTATACCTGAGCTGTTCCCTAGTGGGACATGAGATTTAACTTCAGAGAAACAGCTTCTAAGTGAAACATATCCAGCTTTTCTTTCATCACTTTCCCAAGGAATTTTGTAGTCTGGAAATTATTTCTTTATACTGCTTACAGCATTTAGACCTACACAGACTTTCCATAATTTTTCCTACCTTCACATTATACCATACTCTGAAAAGTCCCAAAGCAAGGCTGTCTTTATCAGAGCATCATTCTGTACACAGCAGAGAAATCAGGGAATCAGTTACAGCTGTGTAGTAAATAAAGCTGTAAGTTGGTAGGACATCTGCCTTGTTTACTTCAGAAATAGATTACGAAAACACGGGGGTCATATAAAAGAAACGATTATATTTTTAAATAGAGATAAAAAGGGGAATGCCATTCCTGAAGAAAAAGATATTATTCTCTTGTCAGAATTGCTGTGCAAGTTGGGGACAGTCTGTAAATTAAAAGAACTTTCAAAAGCTGTCATTGCTAGGGTGTTCAGGACACTTAGCAAAATGCCAAGTATGCAGGAAATGATCTAAAAAGCACTGGAAACACAAAGAGTTTTATTTTGGATAGAAAGTAGACAGCCAAAACTTAAGAACTGTCGTGTTCTTTTCATATTATGAGAGAAACTGATGCACTGATATTAAAAACCACTTGCACATTACACGAGTGGTGGTGAAAAATGGTATGTCACTAATATTTGTGAAGTACCCAGCTGCTATTAAAATGAATGGAACAACCAAAGCCACGGAAAAAAAAACAAACCCACCACTTGTTTTGCTAAAAGATTAATACCATTTTAAGCTCTATTAACCAGGAAGTATTGTGAAGGCCTGTGATTTTATGTCATCATGTAATAATAATAATGAGGACACCATCACTGAGACACTTTATGTAGCACACTGCTCAACTTTAAAGTAACACTACAAAAAATGGAGATAGTTAGAGTGTGATAAAAATTCCTGGGTGAGTGGTGGTATTGCTGGGAAGCTTTCAATTTGGCTTTGAAAGTCAAATTGCTTTAATTTACAAAAACAGATGACAAACATACCTTATCTGAAAGTTTCTTCAAAGGAAAAAATTTCAAGAACCAGAGCTCCCCTATCATAATGTTTCCAATGCTATCAAAACTATTTCAAATCAGTGTTCAACATTTAAATTCAAATGTTCAGCCTCAAATGTTCAAATTAACACCCAGTTATCATCCTATTTTTTAATCATATCTGTTATATACTACTGTCAACAGTTAAGTGCAGTCAAGTCCCTGGAGAAAGGTTGTGAACTGTGTATAAAAAAAGGCAGAAAGAAAACAAACTGAAGCTAGATTGCTATAAAGTGTTCATTTTCAAATCAAAAACTGATGTAATTGATACAACTTCATTTAGTTCAATACTATTTGACCTTAAAGAATTTGAAGAATCACTATTGTAAACTAACCTTGCAAATACAACCTTAATTCTACCATTTTTCAACTTCTGAACATAAAGATTTGTGTTCTAAATACAGCTTTACATATTCTTTAGTAATTTGCTTTATGAATACAAGAATGTAACACTTTGCAATACCCAGTTGCTTCCAACAACCATCAGAAGATATGGTCAGTCGTTTGGTGGCCTCTGCATAACGAAATAATAGGCCTACTTCAGTTTTGTTCCTGTATTTTAAGGCATTAACATTAAAATTAAAAATTAATTGTTGAAACAAACCTAGCAAATTGGCTCTAGAGGCACCACTTCTTCTTTTTGCTTTGATAACTGCTACAGACTCAGTTCTCCTCTTCATGGGAGTGACCTTCAGACCAAGCTGCGCAGTTCTTGTTAATTTGTCAGGCGTAGCTGTTAAAAAGGTTTTACCAGCTTGGTTAACCTGAGAAGATTTAGGTGTTTCCACTCGAGCACCATTTTTCTCCCTTTTTTTCCTCTTCATGTCTTCTGCAACAGCATCGTTCTCTTCTGCAATTGGTAATGGTGTCGTGACGAGAGAAATAGAGAAACGCCCTTTTTTGTCAGGTGCTGGAGAGCCTAAAGCAAGTTTAGGTGTTGCCTTCCCAGAGGCAGGGGACGAGGCAGCTGGGGACTTCTGGGATGGCAAATTTTTTGGTGACATTTTTTCTTTCTGCAAATGTTCAGAAAGAAAATCCATAAAGATAAAACGTTACCGCACATAGCTGAACTACAAATGTTCATCTACATCCCTGACAAGCAAATACAATAGTATAAATATCATCAGATCATTTGAACAAGTCTTAAATGTCATTAAATGTTATTCTCTGAAAACAAACTTATAACAAGTTTTAAATTTCAAGTCTCAAAAGACACATGCAAATTCAACTGAATAAATTAAATTAATTCATTATTCTACTTCATTCAAACATTTTGTTCACATCAAGTACACTATATACATTTTACCTAGTTTAAATCAACAGCAAATGTTTTATAAGTCCTAGCCAAACCACATGGCAGTAGCTTGCAGTCTGCCAACAAACTACTGTTCAGTTTTCTGTTCTTTATGGTAAACTGGAGCCTGTAGACACTGCTGCTACGCACAAACGTACAGAAATATGCTCCCGCATATGCATGAGAATGAGCAACAGCATGCGAGGTGAATAAAAACATACCTCCTGTATCAAGACAGACAGATTTAAAGAGTAAGCTGAGCCCTCTCCTACAATCAAGAAGTTAAAAAAATGCTGACTAAAATTTGCCAATTTCAAATACCATTCTAATTTGCAATTAAAATATCCACTTCCCAACATATATCCCAACAAGGCTTACTACTAATTTTTAGTTAACTTTTAGAAGTCTTCGCATTTGTAAATTCTGCTCACACTAATTGTCTCAGCAACTTGATTAGTCTTAACACGTACCTGGACTGCAAAATGCTTCAATCCCTGAGCCTTTTTCAGAACAGCACGTGGAGAGTTTCCAAACGGTAAGCTCAGTCTCGCAGGAATTGCACCTCTTTTAAGGGGCGAGTTGGGAGGCAAACTTTTATCAAAAAGTTCTGGACTTAGATGACCACCAAAAGACACTCTCTTTCTTTTTCCTACAGGCTGAGGTAACAAGTTGCCACTTCTCTTAGTTCTTGTCTTTGTCTTGCCTAAAAATAACAATTGAAAACATTTCTGCATATCTAAGAATCCAAGTCAACATTTTAACCAGCATAAAAAACAGTGCTTACTCATGCATTTTAAAGTTGGAAACATATCAGAAGGTAACTTATCTTAAAGAGAAATAGATTGAGTACACTTTCATACATATTATTGTGTATTTTTATGGTCAAATATAACTACATAACAAATATTTTAGAACTAATATGTCAGCAATGAGTTCTACATTTTATGTAAATGGAAAAATTCTCATAAAAACGCACGAGAATTTCTCAAACACAAAAACAACAAGGCAGGGGACTAAACATACTTACCTGATTCTTCTTCAGCAAACAGGCCAGAAATATTAATTTCTGAGACAGCCTCATTATCCTTCCGTACAGAAGTGCTTCCAGAAGACCTTCTTTTTGATGACAATCTACCAGGTCTTTTAACACTGGCATCTTCCAAATCTTGTTTCTGAGGACACCCCTTCGTGGCCAGCTCTTCTTTAGCTCCACTGTCTTTTCGGTCTGCAGTCTTCTCCTGATGCTCCTGAACGGCACTTGTCTCCACTGCTTTCTCAGTCAGCAGTCCAGAGGTCCTTGGCCTACCCCTTTTTCCTCCAGAGCCAGATTTCTGACCAGCAGGAGATGCCAGTTCTGATGGTGACTCCTGTGAAGCCAGTGTCTGTGAATGGACGCTTTTGTTTGATAATTCAGCGCTTTGCCTGTTCTTTCCTCTAGGACTCTTGGAATTAGAAAAAGAGGCAAGAGTTTCAGAACGTCCCTCTCCTGAGGTAACAAAGTTGGGCTGTTCACAAGTTGCTTTCAGCACTTGTTCTTCTCCAGATTTTCCTGGTGTATGTTGTTTAGTTGTTTGACTTTGTTTTAAGCATTTATTTCCTGCCAAGGGCAGTTGTTGGAGGCTATCATTTCCGCATGCTGAATCTTCCCTTTCAGTTTCAGCTAAAATTTCTGAAAAAGACTTACATTTCAATGACATACATCGTCGAGTTGTTGGAGTATCAGTATTACCAGGATTCATTCCACTTGTTTCTCTGGCAGGCGACATGAAACAAAGCAGAGGAACCTTTCTTCTGGGCGTTGGTGTAGACAGAACATATTTATCTACTTCAGAAATATTTGTCGTGTTAGTCGTTTGTGCTAGTTTATCTCCTGCTATTGCAGAGCTGTATGTTTTCATTTTATCTGCATAATCCAAGCATTTTATAGAGCACGGCTTCAGTGAAAATGCTGCATTTCCATCATTCTCCTTACTGGTATTGGTTGTAACTTCAGTACCTTTAGATCTGTCTGCTGTACTTAGCTCCTTATCATCCTGCAAGGGACTTCTTTTACAAATATCTGTTGACACCTCCTTTGAAACAGAAATTCGAGGACTTCTGGTAGAACTCTTCTTGGTAGCACTTCCTACAGCTGAGATCCCACTAAGTTCTGAACTTATTACTTTTTGCTTTATTTTTATGGTACATTCTTCAGTATTTTCACTTCTGCCTACTTCTTTTTCTTTAGGCAGGCTTCCCAGATCATAAGCACAACCTGATGATGAAATTCGAGCACTTGGTTCTAGCAGAACAGTCTTGCCATCTTCCTTTGTAGCTTGTTGAGACACATTTCCCTCTTGCAGAGGTTTTTTCACTTTAATCTCATGTTTTAGTTTTTCATAGAGTTTACTAAAGGGAGACATTTCATTTTGCTTTTTACTAAACTGACGTATTCTCTGTGAAGATTTGGGTGTTTGTAGTTTGATGGGTAAGGCTTTGGAAGTATTCTCCTCTGTACTTGGTTTATTTTCCTTGGCCTTTTTTTCTTCATAGTCAGCATTATCTACGAAGTAAGTAGAGCAAAACAAAAAGTAATACAGATGCAGTTACTCAAAAATTGCAAACTGCAAATATGAGTTTGATAAATACAGACAAAAATCCCTTCCTTTCTTCTCCCAAGATGGTCAACCGGGGTCCAAGACAAGGTAAATAAAGCCCTGTTAATAATAACAATTTCTCTCATAATAGAAACATTAGTATCTACATGTTTGACCTAAAATTTAAGTTGTAATCTGGAATTTATCCCATATTCAGGTAAGGCACTTGGCATTTCACACTTTTGTTTTTCTTCATCATCAATGGCTCATATTCATCTTTCAGGGCTGCCACAAGACAAATCCACGAGCACAGAATTAAACAACCATTTAGACCAGCTTACCACAATTCAGTTTGGTTTTTGTGCTGCGTTTACGTGGCTGCTGTATTGCTCGAACTGTGGCAACGCTTCTTTAGGGTAAAGCCAGACAATAAAGCAGAGCTGCCACTTCCCAGATGAGACACAGTGAGCGACTGCACATGTGCTGCCGTTCCACTGCAGTCTGTAAGCTGCATCCAAGGCAGGCTGAGGCAGCATGCTTCGCTTTGCTTTTTCCACAAGCAAGGGCTATACGCAAGCTAACAGAGTTCATCCCATAGAGATGTCTTTTTAAGACCTCGTGTAGATCTCTACATCTACAAGGTCTATTTCTCAGCACGACTTTACATCAGCATGAATGCTCGCCGGAACAAATACTGACACATGTTGACTTTACTTAATTGTGGTGGGAACTAATTCATGTAAAGATGAAGGCAGAGACTCTGACATACAAGGAAAAGCCTGTCAATTATCTTCTAGGAAAGGGGAAAAAGAGTGAGAGGGGCGGAAGAGAAACGGAAAGAACAGGAAGTTAGATCTTTCTATGAATGCTTTCACCCAACTTCAGACATCTATATATTTTTTTTTTAATGAGCTGGCAAGTTGTTCTGTTAAAGTTGGTAGAACAACAAAGCAAAGACTGTTGTACCGTAGGAGTGTTGGGGAGCCTATCATCCTGTGAATACAGCTGCACTCACAACCCCCCACTGAAACAGAACACTTGGAAACAGCCTAGAGTTTTTGCAATGGAACAAACATTTGTCACAAAAATCAGCTGTAGCTAAATAGCCTCCATCTAACAAACCTTGTATCTTCCTATGAAAGTAACGTAACTTAAGACAAGCATGGGAAGGTGCAGTCCTGGCATTTAACCAGTCTATAACCACCCAGACTCAGCAGCTCTAGCAGATTTTTACCAGGTCTACACGAAACAGCTGGTGCAAACTGTTCTTTCTTAGAATCACAGAATGGTTTGTGTTGGAAGGGACCTTACAGATCATCCAGTTCCAACCCCCCTGCCCTGGGCAGGAACCCCTTCCACCAGATCAGGGTGCTCAGAGCCCCGTCCAGCCTGGCCTTGAGCACTGCCAGGGAGGGGGCAGCCACAGTTTCTCTGGGTAACCTGGGCCAGGGCTTCACCACCCTCAGAGTAAAAAATTTCTTCCTTATATCTAATCTAAATCACCCTTCTTTCAGTTTAAAGCCCTTACTCCTTATCCTATCACTCCATGCCTTTACAAAAAGTCCCTCTCCGCCTCTCTCGTAGGCCCCTTCAGGTACTTGAAGGCCGCAATAATGTCTCCCTGCAGCCTTCTCTTCCCCAGGCTGAGCAGCCCCAGCTCTCCCAGCCTGTCCTCCCAACAGAGGGGTTCCAGCCCTCGGATCATTGCTGGGGCCTCCTCCGACCCCGCTCCCACAGCTCCAGCTCTGTCCTGTGCTGAGGGCTCCAGAGCTGGAC